AAGCCAAACTCCAAAGTCCCTTCTCTTACCATTTTAGCATAGGAAATTGAATGCAGGGTAAGGGTAGGAGTAGATAACCTATCAGATTCTTGAGCTGCCATGGTATGGATGGGAAGATAGAGATGAAAGGAACCCTCCAAAATCTGGGAACCCTTGCAGGGACAAGGAGAGGCAGCATAACTGGCTGAGGGTGCTTATGCCCATTTTCCAGTTGATAAACTTCCTGCTGCTCCCTGCAGGTCTTTATTACCCTTAGGAGACATGCATGTTTCCTGCACCTTAAACTAAGAAGGCAAGGAATGACAAAGTCAGGTGACACGCTTCCGGATGCCAAATGAATCACCCACAAAACCAGAACTAGAACTTCAAACCTCTCACTCTGTTATTACAGCGTTAAGTCAGGGCTGACTCCACTTCCCTTAATTCCTGGACTGCTCAGCTCTGAACAATGCTGACCCACTCCCTAGGGAGGGGAACCTGCCCTTGGATCCTGGCTGTGCAGCATGAGGCGGGAGGTTATGTGTTCCCAGAGATGTCTTTTTCCTCTTGCCAGGAGTTTGCTATTGTTTACAGAGAATTACATTCTACATCTAGAACTTTTACAGTGATGCACCCTGTATGGCACAGCACTGAGGTAAATAGCAGCTGAGTTAATTTTCTGATAGTGAAACCTCCCGTCCATATCCCTGTGTCTGGCTGGGTCTGGGACTCATGTATCAGAGAATGAGAAAGTGTGTGTGTGTGTGTGTGTGTGTGTGTGTGTGTGTGTGTGTTCCTACAGCCTGTTGTAGCCTGTCCTTCAGTCCTCCTCAGCTTGGTCCCTCCTCTCTGCAGAGGGCAGTGTGTTAGACAGGCTGAAGAGTGGCCAGAAAACAAAACAGATCTCCTCATTGTGGGGGGAGACTTCCAAAAGAGTTCTAGAGAACCCAAAATCTTCCCTTAGAAGGAAAAACCCAGCAGGCTGAATACCAAAGAAGAGGACTGATCCTTGGAAATGCAAGGTCACTGACAACAGTAGGAACAAGGTATTTGAAAGAAGCCCCAAGCCGTCTTCTGATACGTTACTCAGGTAGGAAAAGGAGACACCGATGGATCAGAGATAATCCTATGCTGAGCGGGGTTGGCGTTGTGTGTTCTTGGCTTTTCTCTCTCATTGATAGCCCCTATTCTGAGCTCGGGAACCTTAGGAGCTGGGAAAACTGTTATTGATTAGGAATCTCAGGAAGAGAAAGTAATCAGCAGGAGAATATTTAAGATATACTATTTCTGGGCTTTTGAAGTTTGAAACTGGTAGACGAAGGATTATGGAATTGGGCACATAAATAGCAAGATAATTATGATAAAAATAAGCTGTTTTGAATTTGTATAACACCTCAAAGGAAATAAAATGTGTTTATCTGTGAAACCATATTTAAAAATAAAACCTGATGCTGTTTGGAAGTGTGTGCGAGCACTGCATTTCTTACCTAGGTGTCAAGGGGCCTGTCTTGCAATTACTTTGTTCCTCTACAAAGTAAACTTTTGTGAGGTGCCAGGATACAGATTAAGCTCCCTCATTTCAACTGTAGATCACATATGTTTAAGGAATCGCTGGAGATAGGTAAAAATAGGAAGCAAGAAAAGCTGATAGCACTCAGATTTTATAATCTGTTGAGTACCATTGAGTTAAAAGATCTGTTGAAAAAGGCTTAGGATTCCTAGGCACCATGGTGGAAAGGGGTTCCCCCTTTCCCTAGGGTTTCCGAGTTCATTTGGATTCCTGGGTCTCTAGGAAGTTGGAGGAGGGCAAAGATCATAATAAGCACAATTTCTCAGTACCCGAGAAGAGTAAGAGGGCGAGGTAACCGCTCTTAGATACCCTCCTCTCTGCCTCTTCGACGCTAGGAGATATCACAGGGTATTCGGCAAGTTACCTCCACAAATCTGCTTCTCTGGATTTAAAAAGAATCACCTCACCAGTGTGCCCTTTCATGCACTCTGTGTCCTCTCACAGGTTTCCTTCCCTAGAAAGATAGAGCCTGGGGCCCTGAGAGAGCCAGGATGAAGATCCTAATTCCCAGGCCGGTGCTCTGTCCTCTGCAGTTTCCCAGTGAAAGACTGCGAGTCCTGAGAACCAGGCCTTTTTACTCAAAAAGCAGAAGATAGAAATAGGATTAGGGATCAGTCCCAGGAACATGAACAAGGGAAACAACCCAAGACTGCATAATCTGGTGAATACTAGAAAAAAAAATTCTGATTCTACCTCTGTTTTCAGAATATGCTTTCAAGACAGACATGCAGGTGTCAGCTATGCCCCTATAAGCTTCCTATATAGACACCCTTGCAGGCAGATTCAATCCACCCATCTTTCCAAATTAGAGTGTATTGTTAGTAAAATTTGGTTTCATCCTTGTGGTTTCCAAGATTCTTTTGGATTCTAATGTAATTCCTTCTTGACCTTGTTGGTCTTGCTCATTTGAAAGACAAGTATATATGTAAAAGAAGTAGTGTAAAGAACATTGGGTTTGTAAGTAAAAGACCTGGGTGTGCAACCTTGCTCTGCCTTTCAAATTTTTTTTAAAAAGTGGTTAATTGGCCGGGCGCGGTGGCTCAAGCCTGTAATCCCAGCACTTTGGGAGGCCGAGGTGGGTGGATCACGAGGTCAAGAGATCGAGACCATCCTGGTCAACATGGTGAAACCCCGTCTCTACTAAAAATACAAAAAATTAGCTGGGCATGGTTGTGCATGCCTGTAATCCCAGCTCCTCAGGAGGCTGAGGCAGGAGAATTGCCTGAACCCAGGAGGCGGAGGTTGCGGTGAGCCGAGATCGCGCAATTGCACTCTAGCCTGAGTAACAAGAGTGAAACTCCATCTCAAAAACAATGCACAGCTAATTCTTTTTATCTTGATACCTCTCTCCATCACTAATTCATAACTTAATCCCTCAGTGTCTGCCTTGCCTTCTTTTTATGAAAGTGCCTAGCACAGCAGCTGTCTTTAGTAACACCATCGTTACTAAAGACAGCTTTATTAGATCTTAAAACAGGAAGCTTGTTTTTTAGGATGTCGGTGACAAGTAATTCTCAAATTCTCTAGATCTGAGCACCGTTCTGTCACTTCCAAATTAATATGTTCAGTCCATTAAACATGTTTTTTGTTTATTTGCTTTTGTTTTGTTTTTTGTTTTTGTCTTTGTTTTTTTTTTTTTTTTCAGATAGCTCAAGGGTAAGGATGAAAGACTATACAAAAGATGAAAGGCAGACTGTTTCTGGCTAGGAGCTGCTACCTCCATATATTTTACCCTTCTCGCTTTTAGTCTTGAGTCCTCTGCCCCTAGCCCAAAGTCATGAATAACTTCCTTGACCCATATGGCATCCACTTGGGAGGGTAGATCACTTATCTATCTAAAAAAAACATAACTGGAAGATCCACGTGTGTTGATAAGCAAGTAGTAAGGTTGAAGGTGAGGCTGACACCAAGATTTAATTGTACCTTACTAGAATGGGGCCAGATGTTACACTGAGTTCAATCACGGAATTTTTCACAACATGTAAGCAGGCAGAGTACAGGAAATCTAATTTTAGAAGCCTTATATCTAGGTATATTTTGGTAAGAAGAGTTTATTCTGGAAAGTCGTGGGTAAATTGCAGATTGTGTACCAGAGACTGTATTGCACTAACTGAAAAGAAATGCCACTTAATAAGAGTTGTGTCATTGTTGCAAATAGAATATAGTCGGGATTAAAATAGATGCATAAATGTCATGTGACATTATGTATGCTTGTATTGTATGTATAAAAGTTTAGAGAATTAATATTACTGTTTAGTTCAATTTCATTATGGTTATGTTCATGAGCTTTTATGGTCTTCAGACTATTTAGTCTCGTAAAGATTTAGCATGGAGTTTACTGCTCATTTCACTTTCATTCCCTTCCTTTTTGTATCTCCTTCATTGTGCTGTTTCTCCTCAGGATTCTCAATTAAAGAGGGAAGTTAAACCTTTTAACATGCTAAGAGAAAGTCTGAAGCAGCTGCTGAGAGAAAAGTTAAGGAATGATAACGACAAGTGAGGCAATATTATTGTTCTAATTAGGACCCTGCCTGAAGAGATTTGACTCTGTAGATATAGGAATATGTAAACTAGAGGCAAACTATATACAATCATATTTTGCAACTATCAAACACAGTTATCAGAATAAAATAAATTACAATTTCACTAGACCCTTGATTCTAATGTCATGAATTTCATTATTCATGACGTTAAATAGAGAACTGCGGATAATGCTTTATAGTGTTAAGAATTTTACAGCTCAGCTAAGAGAAGAAGCAGTAGCCTACATATTTTATTTTTAACATAGTGGGAAAAGTATTTAGATATAATGAAAGGAAGCACAGTATTGGTCAGGTTGAACAGGAACCTTAGCCAGAAGTATTCTTCTAGTAGTCAGGTGGGCCAGAATTGAACCCATGGGAAAAGTCATCCTAGAGGGTTTTGGCATCGAGGCATGCCTTTTCTCAGCTTGACAGAGTGTCCAGGCAAAGCCATGTGGTTTCTGAGTATGAATTTCAAAGAAAAAAGTCATCTAGAGAGGAATATTGCTGTTACAAGTAAATGTAAGTGTCCTCTGATGTTTAAGCTTTGGTGGCCTCTGTCTGGTGAGTTTCCCACATTGGCTTTCGTGGATATGTATGGATATGCCTCGTGTGTATGCCTTAAAAATCCTAGGCTCATCTGGTACATTCCATGTGCCTCTACCTAAACTGTAACCATTAGAAAGGGCTTACTGTATACACAGTGTCAGTCTCCATATGCAAGCCTGGAGCCTGAAAGTCGGAAGTCCTGCCTGTCCTGGCTGATGTCTCCCACCCCCTGCCTGCATTCTCCATTGTCCCTGATCGCACAGCAGAGCCTCCCCGGACAAGTCCCTCACCCAACCCTGCCATCTTAACTGTTCTTATGGTAATGTAAATACCTCTGACCCAACCCTGCCATTGTAACTGAACTTGTGGTCACGTATACTCCTTGCACCTACCCCCCACCACGGTAACTGATCTTACTCTGCAACACCCCCACCCCACAAAAAACTACCCCAACCTATAAAGCCAATTCCCACCTTAGCCGCTTCGCCTGTCCTTTCTCAGATTCCGCCCGCTTGCACCCAAGCAAGAAATAAAACGGCCTTTTTGCCCACACAAAGCCTGTTTGGAAGATCTGTTTATTAAATGCACTTAATATTCGATACTATTGGACACGAATAACACACACGGAAAGCAATTTCACTGAGTGGGGCTCATCACTCCATACATTAATCTGCTTACTCTAGCATCCAATTTCATTGGGTTGCTAGGTATTAATATGCCTCGTCTCTTTAAACTACTGACGTACAAATAAAAGTGACGGTGAGAACCTGGCTCAGGAAATGCAGTAGCCGGCCGTATTGCATCCAAAGGTGAGTGCTCTGTAATAGGTGTGATAGTCAGTGTAAGGGGATGAGCATGAGTTTGAGTTATCAGGGACAGGTGTGTTTGGCCAGGAGCCTATCGTTGAGTATGGATGACCCTCCATGAGCGGTTCTGTGTGGGGGTACACGTGCACAGATGGCTTTGAATGACTCCCTTCAGTATGTATTAGTGGGTGTATCATTTGTTTTCTGGGTAGAGCTCATGAGCCTGAGCTAGCTGCTGACTGACCCTTTTCTCCACTTGTGCTATGGTGAGAAAGAGTGTGCCCAGAGAACCTCCTCCCCAGAAAGCCAAACTGGTTAAACTGGCTGCTCCCTGAATGAAAATAATTACTTCTGATAATCCCGTAAAAAGGAAGCAAAGAAAAGAAAAATAATGAGAATGGCAGTGATAACTTTTCTAATAGCCTCCATGAGGTCACCCTGCTGATCCAATGTTTTCTTTTCCAGACCTTCTTTGTGCACTCTCTCAAGGCTTTGTTTCTTAAAAGTTTCATCGCTAGTGCCTGTCCTTCCATGTGGCCTCGAGAATCGTGGAAACTTTCTCAGCCACCTTTCTCCTTGCCTTTTTGGTAGGAGAATAGTTAGATAGCAAAGTCCACAGCATCTAGTGAACTTTGCTATCTAACTATTCATCGACGTCTTAGATCCCATTCTATGTACAAACCCACAGATAAGAATTTCCCTCTTCTGTGCAATTTTCCACCCACTGGCTCCTTTGCTGTTTACCTGGGCTCTCTCAACCAACCACACACTTTGTGTCTCTTGAGTTGTAAGGGATTTGTTTAGCTATTGAACCCACATACAAGTTCATGGTGCTCCAGGAACACTGGAAAACCGGTAAGGCAGAATCTGGGAGGCTTCTTTATATAGGTCTTTCAGACACTGAGAGACTCTGCCTCAGTAAATAACATTGTGGTTATTGGTAATAAAACAACGCATAATGCAATGATAGAGGACAGCATCATGTGGCTAATTTAACACCTGTACAATATAGTAGCATCTTATATAAGCTATACTTCTGATTTTTGTTTTATGTTTTTATTGTCACTACAAAACTGGATCACATATTTAGAATTATTTAGCAGAAAAATTACCATATTTTCTTTCAAGTTAATCAGAATTAAAGAAGTAGGCTTTGCTGACTATAGAGCCGTGAGTGTGTCTTCTCAAGCAAAGGCAAAATATACATTTTGGAGAGGTTTGGAAGAGCAGTAAACATGAGTCTCTTTGGAAAGAAGGAACCAGGTTTCTGGTGGTATTATTTGAAATATATACTGATTATGTTACATACACTTAACAGAGATACACATAAAGAATCCCTTGCCAGAAAAACAAGAAACTAACAACTAGAGTCTACTTGGAGGAGAATTAACAACTTGATAAATGGAGAAGAATCTGGTGGGAGAAAGATTTTTATGCTATACAATTTAACCTTTCCATTTTTTGAATCACATGAATGCATTTTCTATTTATTTAAAGGAGTAAGGGAAAGAGAAGGTGACTTGGTAATGATACTCCCTTTATATGCTGGTAGGAATGAGTGTCCATGTCTATATCTGATATGAACAGGGCGAGCACCTTGAAGCTCTGAGGGATGAGGAATTAAACAGTTTCCATTGATAAATGCTGTCTGTTCATTGCTTGTGACGGTGCGGATATTCCAGAGAAAGAAAGCAAATGTGTAACTCATATCCTTTGACATCTGTCAACTTTTTATTCATTGTCTGAATTAACTGTGTATAAAAATGAAATTAAATGTTTTGTTTAGAGCTAGGCATGGTAGCTCATGCCTGTAATTCCAGAGACTCGGGGGGCTGAGGCAGGAGGATTAGCTGAGCCCAAGAGTTTGAGACTTGAATGAGTCGTGATCACACCACTGCACCCAAGCCTGGACTACAGACCAAGATCCCGACTTCAAAAAACGTTTTGCTTAAAATGTGTGATGCCCAGCTAAAAAAATGTATTAGACATGCGTAAGACTGTAGGGGAGGTGGATCATACCCACATAACCCATGGATCACAGTTGTTCAGACAGATGTTGTAAATCTGTAATTGATCATGGGAGCAGAAGTCTCGGGTGGGAGGAGACACTTCCAAATAATTTCAGTAGCAATCGAATGAAAGGACGAGACCAGATCAGAGCTGTCTTTGCTATATAACAGAGAAGCGAGAAATGCTGAGAGGAGGAGGAGGTTGGGAGTGTTCTTCCAGTCTGAATATCAGCTAAATAAAGAGACATAAATGGATGACTCAGAGAGGTAGCCATTTACTTAACTAGTGATCTGTAGAGGCAGTTTAAAATTCTGTGTGTGCTCCATTTTATTTTATTTTTCAAGAGCCATTCAATCCTTAGGAACTACTCACGGCTGTGCTCTGTGCATTCTCTGTGGGCCTAGCAGGGAAGAAGACATCCCTGTGGCAATGGGCGATGAGAGGGTCATGACACGGATGCTCCTGGAATGCAGTCTCAGTGACAAGTTGTGTGGTAAGTACAGATTCCACAGACGTCTATCCTCTTATGTAGGCTAAGGTCTGGATTGATTCTAGAAGGAGGATGGTTTGATTTCCAGTAGAAATGAAGACAGTGGTGATAAAGGTTGGGGACTAGAGGCCCTTGTCTTTCTGGGGAGAGGGTAAGTACTAATCAGAGATACAGATGCTGCATCTTCAGTCTTGGTAGGAAAACTGCCAGAAGCAGCGTCATGCACACTTGAATGGCTAAGAAAAAGGGCCACTGGGGTTTCTGATTAGAGAGTTGCTCCCAGCAGTGTTTCTGTTGAATGGAAGTAGAGGGGAATGTAGAAGAGATGACTTTTTCATGTACGCTGAGCTGAGAGCTGGTGGGTAGGGGAAATTGCATGAACCCCAGGCGAGGCTTCCTCATTCTCTTCTCTTTCTGTGTGATTGCCTACCCAGTCATCCAGGAGAAGCAGTATGAAGTGATTATCGTCCCAACTTTCTTGGTTACTATCTTCCTCATCCTTCTCGGGGTCATCCTGTGGCTTTTTATGAGAGAACAAAGAACTCAACAGCAGCGTCCTGGACCTCGAGGTAAAAAGCTCAGACTTCGGGGCTGGGCAGGGGCTTAGAGAAGATGGAGATTAGGAAAAAATATGGTCCAAGTTTCAATGAGCCCATGTCTAGAAGTCTAAGTACCTGCAATGAAAGAGGCACGTGTTCCCTCCTGTGGAGTTGAGAGCAGGGTGATCTCTTTTCTAGGAAGTCCTGAGTTTGAGTTCAACACATGTTTATTGACTGAAGGAGAGTGTGCAAGAAAAGCTCATATAACCTGTTTCATTTCCTATTGGACTATCAAAACTTTGACTGTATGAGTGCCTGAGGACTTAGGAGAAAGACCTAAAGTCCACGGCTTCATTAGCATCCTAGGAGGATGACATTTCACCCCATTTCATTCATTCCTACTCTTTGCCTCCAGGATATATGATGGAAAGGAGTGGCCTTCATATTGTAATAGTCTTTGAAGTGCTAAGTAGAAGATGATAACAGGCTGTTCTGGAGTTCCACTGAGCATTTAATACAAGGGAATCGGCTCATACATGACACTAAGGGTAAAAAGAAGCAAAAACAAAACCCTCATCATGATAAGCAACTCTATAGTGGCTGATCCTTAGATTGTCTTTAAATTTTATCGCAATTCTCACTTTGCTTTTATAGAAAACTTCTCAAACAAGTTGTCTAAACTCACCCCTGCTACTTCTACTCATCACGTTCTCTTTTGATCTCACTAAATTAGGGTTTTTTTCTCTATCATTTCACCAAAACAAGTCTTTCCAACCCCATCAGGGAGAGCTATGTTGACAAGCCCAGTGGTCAAGCCTTCGTCTTCGTCTTACTTGATCTGTCAAAAGCATTTGAAACAGTTTTGAACTTTTTCTATCTTGAAATACTTAAAAAAACTAAAGCCACTTCCTAAATGATATGATTTTTAGTCTTATGGATTCAAATACGTTTTCTATTCCAATGATAGTCCCTTGAACTCAATTCTCATATTAAACCACCTACTGTACAGTTTCAATAAAATAGAAATCTCTTGTGTAATATGCCCAAAACAAAGGTCCTGAAATTCTTTCACGAATGTGCTCCCCAAATAGTCTTGCCTGTCTTAGAAAATGGCAAGCCCTGTCTTCTGTGTTTTCATTCTCAAACCTTGAAGCTATCCGTAACTCCCTTCTTTCCCTCACAGTCCATATCTAATTCATAAGCAAACACTGTTACTCTATTTTAAAAATAAACCCAAGTTACTCTCACCTTTCACAGATCATTGCCATACACTCCTAATGTCCTGCTTCTGCCCCTACTCCTTTATAGAGAGGCTATAATTAGTCTTTTAATACAGTCAGTCCTGTTAATTATCAGCTTGAAATCTCTCTGCCACACACACACATGTAGTAGCTTCCCATCTTGCTCGGAATGAAAAATGACAAATTCTTCCCATGGCCTTCCATGATCTGCTCCTCCCTGGCCTTATCTCCTACCACTCTCCAATGATCCCACGTGGCTCCAGCTACACTGGCTTCCTTGCTGTTTCTCAGCTATTCCAGGTATGCTCCCTGCTTAATGCCTTTGCAATCTTTGCTCCCTTTGCCTACAGTACTCTTCCTGACATCGGCATGATTTGCTCCCTAGTTGCTTCCAGGCCTTTCTCAAATGTTATCTCATCAGAAAGGCCTTTCTTGACCTTCATATATAACATGGGTGACTGATGCTTCTTCTCCTCACCTTTTTTTTTTTTAAAAAAAAGATGGAGTCTTGCTATGTTGCTCAGGCTGAACACTAATTCCCGGGCTCAGGAGATCCTCCTGCCTTGGCCTCCCCAATAGTGAGGATTACAGGCTCATGGCACCACGCTCAGCTCCTTCTCCTTCCTTTATTTTCCTCCACAATATTAATTGCCTGACATATTATTAGCTGTTTCCTCTCCCCTGCCACTAGAAAGTAATTTTCAGGTGAATCTGGACTTTCCCTGTTCCCAACACCTAGAACAGCACGTGGCATGTTAATAGGTGACATTTGTTGAATAAATGAATGAATTAATGAATAAATGTAGGTTTAATAAGAGGATGAACCTCTCTTTTTTTTCTGGCAAAGGGAGGGAAAAAGCACCAGAAGACTTTTTTGACAAAGACTCGAGGAAATATGAAATAATTTGACTTTTGGGGCGACTTGATGGAGAAAGAATAACCATAGCTTGAAGTTTATTAATTATCCATACCTTTCTGTTGAAAGCCATTTGTCTGACTTAAATGACAGTTCTCAGTGGCAGTTACCTCCACCTTTAGGCATCTGTGGTTTGGATACCTATCAGGAACTTTCCTAACTGTCTCCACACCACCCTCATGGGGAGTGCTCAACTGGAACCCTGAGGAAGACAGAAAGGAAGTGTCATGAGCACTTTCCTGGGGTCCTTCTTGAGTTGTCTTAAAAAGCTCTGAGGATTATTATAAAGGTTCTACAAGCTTGGCATTGATGCCGGTTTATGGAGAAGCGTCAGAAGACAACTCCACATTGGCCTGAGAGAAAACTGCTGAAGGAACTTCCTTGCCAATTTGTTTCAGACTCTGCTTTCCGGGAATCCCTAGGGCAGGGAAAAACTAGTTGACATCATCTCTCTGTTCTAGACATTGCCCCTGTCCCTCCATCTAGGGACCTAAGCTGGGAAGCAGCTGGATGTGGAGGAAATGTGGCTTTGCCACTTAAGGAGACATCTGTGGAAAACTTTCTGGGAGCTACCACACCTGCCTTGGCTAAGCTGGAGGTGCCCCGGGAGCAACTCTCTGAAGTTCTGGAGCAGATTTGCAATGGTAGCTGTGGGCCCATCTTTCGAGCCAGTATGAACACTGGGGACCCTTCTAAGCCCAAGAGTGTTATTCTCAAAGCTTTAAAAGGTAAAACAAGAAGTGTTTCACCCCCCACCCCCTGACAGTAAATATTAACAGGATTTGCGAATATTGAGATGTTAATCAACAGACAGTTGTGATTACAACTGTGTACAAAAGAAGGAAATACAGAGTGGGACCTTGAGACAGAAATGTTCTTCTTGGTGTCTTTTTAAAAAAATGTTACAAATTGTTTATTTGTGGGTCTTCACCCACATCTCCAAATAATAACTAAAATGACTAACCCAAATAAGTATAATGTTATGATGAGAAAGACGTCAGCTGTAGGTTTTCACGCAGTCTTTATTATGTTGAGGCACCTTCCTTCTGTACTTACTATGGTTTCACATACATAATTTCTTGTATTTTTTATAATAATTTTCTGATCCTGAGGCTTCTAAATCAGTAAAATGGGAGTAATAATTATTGTAAAAAATACAAGAAATTATGTATGTGAAAACATAGCAGTGGTTGGTACAGAGTAAGCACTCAAAATGGCAGCTGTTATAAGGATAATTACATAACATGAGTTTGTGTAGTGTTTTTATAATGAAAGGATATTGGATTTTATCAAATGCCTTTTCTGCATTGATCGAAATGATCACATGATGTTTATCCTTTATTCTGTTACTGTGGTATGTCACAGAATTGATTTGCATATGTCGAAACATCTTTGCATCCTAGGTTCCCTGGCTCATCTTTGGCTATTGAGGCTGTTAAAACTGATGTTTTCACAATGAATGTTACTTGGACTAGGATTCCATGGTTGTTTCCTCGTTTTACTTTACTCTTTGATACCCCTTCCTGATACGATATTTCTTTCCTTTTTTTTTTTTTGAGACAGTTTCACTCTTGTCACCCAGGCTGGAGTGCAGTGGTGTGATCTGGGCTCATGGCAATCTTCACCTCCCAGGTTTAAGTGATTCTTCTGCCTTAGCCTCCCAAGTAGCTGGGATTATAGGCGTGTGCCACCATGCCCAGCTAATTTTGGTATTATTAGTAGAGACAGGGTTTCACTATATTGGCCAGGCTGATCTCGAACTCCTGACCTCAGGTGATCCACTTCCCTTGGCCTCCCAAAGTGCTGGGATTACAGGTATGAGCCACTGAGCCCAGCTGATGTTATATTTCTTTCTCTCTCTCTCTCTCTCTCTCTTCCTCTCTTCTGCATGATACGGGCCAGTAATGATGGATACATAGAACAAGGATAAGGCAAGCAAGGATATTAATCCAAAGGCCTAGACAGTGATAACTTTTTAATGCAAACAGACTATCTCTCTATTTAGGCAGATGAAAGCCTATCCAGTTCTAATAATTATGATTCCTTGTTACCTTTGATAAAAGTTCAGTGACATTAAGCATCATCATCTTCTAATGGGTCCCCTTTGTATTTATTTTTGCCTGCACTCACTCCCACGTAGGACCTTAAGAATTACCACCTTAAGTTGCCACCTGTGCCCTGACTCCCACTCATTGAGGATGCGCTGACTTCTGACTGCCTGGCTCTTCCGTCCTCTACAGAACCAGCTGGGCCCCATGAGGTACAGGATTTCTTGGGGCGAGTCCAATTCCATCAATACCTGGGGAAACACAAGAACCTGGTGCAGCTGGAAGGCTGCTGCACCGAAAAGCTGCCACTCTATATGGTGATGGAGGATGTGGTCCACGGAGACCTGCTCAGCTTTCTCTGGACCTGTCGCCGGGTGAGCAGTAGGGTAGAGGTATTAGGAGGTTAAGACTTGACCTTCTTGATTAGCTTTTCACATGTCAATTAGTGTGACAAATGACAAAATGCAGAGACATTATAATAGCATGACAGAATAATTATCACCATCTAATAGAACTTTTTGTAATTATAGAAACGTTCTATAACTGCTCCATCCAATATAAGCCACTAATCACAGATGGCTTCTGGACACTTGAAATGTGGCTGATGTGATGGAGAAACTAAATTTTGAATTTTATTTAATTTTAAATAATGTAAGTTGAAATAGCCACATGTGACTAATGAGCACAGAGTGGACAGCGTAAGTTTAGAGCATGGACTTTGGGCTCTACCTCCTGCTAGTTATGTGACTGAGAAAGTCACCTTTCTGATCCTGAGTCTTCTAAATCAGTAAAATGGGAGTAATAATTATTATTTAAAAAAACTACAAGAAATTATGTGTGTGAAAACATAGCAGTGGTTGGTACAGAGTAAGCACTCAAAATGGCAGCTGTTACAATAATAATTACATAACAACATGAGTATTTTTGGTAATGGTTATAATTTTGTTGTTGTTACTGTGTTTTCTATTCTGTAACATCACCATAGTATGGTAGGGCAAACTCAGGGAGAAATTTAGCTGGTAAAGCTTTTGTACCTCAAACTCATGTTTTTTAAAATTAAAATGTTCAGAAATTTCTAGCCTCAAATGGTTGTCCCTTTCCTTAAAATTTCCCTTGTTCTCTACTCCTCTGTTGGAACTGCTACCTGTTTCCCTACTTTCTCAGCTTGCTGGTGGGCAAGTTCAGTACTCATTGAACCTCGTTAATATGCTGAGTATTGTACAACTGAACATGTATGAGAAAGGGCCCCTGTTAGTATCTTCCACCCAGTGTTGTCAATAGCGCAATGTGCAAGTATTTAGGCATTTTAAACTTTTTAAAGAGGTCGCTCATCTAAAACTTCTTTTGTGCTCTAACTGCACTAGCTTCTTTCCATTTTTCAAAAATACCATGTGTTTCTATTTCAGATTATCTTTATATATTTTTCTAGTTCCACCAAACTTCTCCCTTCTGTCCTTTTTATAGTTAATGTCTACTCATCCTTCAGATTTCATCAAACACTTTCCCTGTCCCTCCAACTGAATCCACTCTCTTCTGCCCACCGTCATATGCTCTCTTGGCACTTTGTACATTTCCTTTATGGCACTTAGAGATATGTAACCATTTATTTATGTATGATTATTTGATTCTGATTCACATGCATCTGCCACACAAGCTCCAGAAGGCAGCAGCCATGCTATTTTACTCATGCTTGTATTTCAAGTTTCTAACATGAAATGAGGGACATTTCAGGCATTCAGTAAAGATGCATTGAGTTAATGTACTAAATTAATCATGAGCACGTGTGTGCTCCCATGTGCACATGCACACGTGCATACACACAGAGCCCCAGAAAAATTGCCGCTTTATTCAGTGGATAGTCTATTTATACTTGTCTTACTTACCTGCTATTCATCTATGTCTGTCATTGTTTTTCCAGTCCAATGGATCATTTTATTTATCTGCCTATGCCCACGTCAGCCTCACTTTGAACATTAATTCTTATATTTTCTTAGCTTTGATAACTGCATTTCAGAGTATCTCTGCCCAACTTTATTTCTTTTCCAAATCTGTTCGTGCCATTTCAATGTAATGGTTTTTTTTCCCCTGTCTCTTTAGGATGTGATGACCATGGATGGTATTCTCTATGATCTCACAGAAAAACAAGTATATCACATCGGAAAGCAGGTCCTTTTGGCTCTGGTAAGATGGGGCAAAATGACAACTGATGGTGTGACATTTCCTTGTTAGCCTTGTTTTTGATGCCATCTTTCTCATATTCATATTCTCAAGTAGTGTCTATGTTTCAAAGAAAAGCAGATAGAAATTAGAGGGCAAAAACTCAAGCATGAATAAATTGTTTTTAGTCCCTTCTTTGGGGATTTATCTAGACAGTTTACTACACTATTGGTAATTTCAGGAAGAAAGTAGTTAACTTAGGGTTGATACAAGGAACAGGAAGGATTTTAAATACTTTTCAGCCTGAAAAGTCAACAGCCAGGGCCCAGAGGTATGCGCCCATTTACCTGATACTCTTACATCCCCGTATGTACTAATAATAGACGTGAAAGAGACAGATAGGGAAGCGAGTAGGGAGAAGATATGGAAAGAGAAACTGAATGGGTGAAAGGCTGCGGAACTAGAAGGAAGTATGCAATTTTACACCTGAAAAACAAGAAACACTAGTTCAGAGCATGTGTGCTTGGAGACTTGCTTTGATACTGAATGTGATAGGCAGTACATATAATTATAAAATGATTAAGGAACAAGTGAAAGAGGAGCAATGAGAAGAGCAACAGCTGGATCGTTCCTTTATTTTAAACCAACTTAAATGAAGAGGTCAGAGAAAGAACTCAGGGTTCAAGATGTTTAAGATAAAAAATTTACCTTTACAAGAATTACCCAGGAAGTTTGTATGCCTATTTCTGTGAAACTATTTAAATAGCTGTGTTTAAAATTAACATTTTCTATGGAAAATCAGGGCTCTGTGAAGCTACTGTTTTAAGAATTTGTTGTATCTTGCTACCTCAAGGTGTGAAATATACCAGGGATCTAAGTGGAATCAGGAAAAGGTTAGAAAAAAAATTAAGGTGGGTAAAGAGTCATAGTTATGGTTGAAGCACCCGTGGGACAAGGGAGAGTACACAGCATATATATGAATATTGTCTATGGTGTTTGGGTGGCCTGGTGGGTATGTTCCCTTGATTAAAGGTGTCAGGATACAGCCTACCCTGGACTCAGAACCGCAATTGCGGAGGTGCCGCACAGGGATGAATTGTTCAAATTGGTGCATTCATCGGGACCCTGTGCTACCTGTTACAAGGCAATATCGTACTGCTTTTTCTTGCCTTAACAACCTCAAAGTCAGTTACGTTCTTTAATTCTTATCATGGCAGTATTGTTTCTTATTTTAAAGCTTCACCAGACACAGAGACCCACTACTTTTCTCTGTCATCAATGATTGGAAATTATCACCTTTACCTTTTAATTCTCTGTAGCATCCTTCTTTAGTGATCACAGCCCTCAATCTCCAGATCTTCAGTCATGTATAGCTTTGCAACTTCTCCTTAAGCCTTAAATCGTTTGATACCAGAGGAAATGACAACATACATCCGCTATCACAGGGTGCCGTGGCTCTCCAATGCTTTGTTGACTGTACTAGAATTGGATATTTCTTAAAAATATAGGTTACCAGGTCTTTCTTCCTACATTTTGGTTTAGCAAATCTGGGGTAAAAATCTTATGTTTAAAAAGCTCTCAGGCAATTCCAATATGCAGACTGACTTGAGAATTTTTAGTAGAGTTTGTATAGTACATCCTATGAATTATAATACCTGGTTCTGGTCACTACCACTTAATAACCCTGTGGCCTTTTATAATCATTTAGATTTATCTAAAAGAGAATTTCCAAATTCAACTCATGCAGTTATTTTAGGGAAAAATTATATATATATATATATATATATATATACATGTGTGTGTGTGTGTGTGCGTGTGTGTGTGTGTATATTATATATATAAAATCACACTCAGTTTTGGTATGTATTACATTGGTTTCGGGCCTACTGATAGAAACTTGGAATCTACTCCCTTCTCCAGTGTCTAGCTGGGAAAGGAAAAGCAAGCAGGGGTCAGTGTTTGACAGAGTGGGTAATTATATTTTCAAAATCCAGTATTAATGTCATTTGAATTATTTGCTCAATTTGGTAATCTTAAACACAATGCAGAAACGTGTGATTCATTAGCATGCTTTGGAAGTGACATACCATTATTAGTGAGATTTGTTCAGAGTAGAAAACGTCCTTGTGTTTTTGAAGATTCCTAGAACTGCCTCTCCTTGTTTGTGACCCAAGCTGTGACCTCAGACAACTGATCATATTTGATTTTGTACTGATAGGAATTCCTGCAGGATAAGCACTTGTTCCATGGGGATGTGGCAGCCAGGAATATCTTGATCCAAAGTGATCTCACTGCTAAGCTCTGTGGATTGGGCCTGGCTTATGAAGTTTATACCCGAGGGGCCATCTCTTCTCAAACCATACCTCTCAAGTGGCTTGCCCCAGAACGGCTTCTCCTAAGACCTGCTGGCATCAAAGCAGATGTGTAAGGTTTATTCCTAGACTCTGAGTTTACTTTCTTTGTGACTTGGGTGTTCTCCCTGAACATGATTTGATCTGTTGCCAATTATGTCTACAAATAAAATCTCTACTTAGAAATTAAACATACCCTATCAAGCAGAAATGTTATGTGACAGAGTTCATGTTTGTCATCTGTCTGCAACTCTTTTTGGTACCTTTTCAACTACTTCTTTTCTTTTCTTTCCTTTTCTTTTCTTTTCTCTCTTTTCTTTTCTTAAGACAAGATCTCACTATGTTGCCCAGGCTGAAGCGCAGTGGCATGATCACAGCTCACTGCAGCCTCCACCTCCTGGGCTCAAGCTATCTTCCTACCTCTGCCTCCCTAGAAGCTACGACTACAGGCATGCACCACCACACTTGGCTAATTTTTTTTTTTTGATAGAGACAAGGTCTCACTCTGCTGCCCAGGCTGGTCTAGAACTTCTGGGCACAAGTTATCCTTTCACTTTGGCCTCCCAAAGTTCTGGGATTCCAGGCATCAGCCACCATGCCCAGCCTCAAGTATTTCTTCTGCATTAGATTACCAGTCTTAATTTGAAAAAAAAAAAAAAAAAAGTGAAAAGATTATTCACATCAATATCTAAGGAATTCATCTAGTAAAGTCTCTTTTATCTGAAGGAGGTAGGTCCGCTTAACCAAAAGGCCAGTTAAACCATAAATTATTAAAATAAAAAGAAATATACATACCTTCAATAACTTATTTTAACATAAAACTTATAAATACACATTCATCTATATGGTTTTTTTGAAGGAGGGGCAAGGTTTCTTTTTATGAGGATGAGTCTCCCAAATGAAGTTATATGTTGTTTTTTTAGTGTAAATAGTATCTGTAATGATTTCTTTTTGAGTTCCAGTTCAGGATGATTTTAAGTAGAGTGAGAAACTTGAAAATAATTGTGAAATTGTTTGCAGAGTTTTAATGCTACTTTTCCCAATTTTCTGCATTTGTCTCCCTCACACAATTTGGTTACATTTTATTTTTAGCAGTTTATTTTTATAAATAATTTTCAAAACGTTCAACTAAGTTGGAAGGAAGATAACGTTTTTTTGCATTTAATCAGTATATAAAATATTTAATTGATTACATAACTCCATATAATTACAATTACATGTAAAATTGGCATTAACAGGATCATAAAGAATCACATTTGACTTTTGGTAGCCATATAACTCAATTGCTTGGAGAAGTACCTAGATGTAATATAGAATATTCTACTTACCATCAATGTCATGAACAGCAGAGGAAATTTAGAATATCAATTAATATGATGAGTCAGTTATGAGATTTCCATTGCTGCTTCACTGACATCTGCTTTTCAATGGATGTCTGGGGGTAATAAACTTAACTGTAAAATATTAATCATTTAATAATGATATAGAATAGTGAACTGTATATCTCTGAAGTCATACTGCTTAGGCAAATACCTGTTCCAACTATGTATAAAGCTTGCTCTGTTAATATTTTTCCTAGGTTTGGGCAATTAAATCTACTAAGAAAATATTGACTAAATGATGAAATTTGCTTGGCTTTGCTCTAAGAATAAAGGCTAGAATTTCAGCAGAGAGGGATGGAAAGGAAGAAAAAGATGCAGAGGGAGCTTTAGGTAAATGTGCTTGTGTGATTACAGGCACTCACATTGGCAAATAATAATAAACATCTATTAATTTAAACTACAGGAAAATAGAGATGTAGCGTCAATCCTAAAAGATTCGAATCTACAGAAATTGAGCAGAAATGCTTTCTAATGGCAGTTTTGTTTTTCAAACACTCATCCTTGATTCTCCTTCATTGTCTTTTTTATGGGGCTCTTCCTAAAGGCTTCTGACTCTTAAATAATCTCTCTTTAGAAAAAGCAGAAATAGAAATTAAGTAGATGGCTTTGTTTCTTTTACAGATGGTCTTTTGGGATCCTGCTCTATGAGATGGTGACTCTAGGTAAGGATGAGCCCCCAAGTAGTTTGTACCTGTATGCAAATATGCAAGCTTGTTTATTTAGGGGGTGGATGATGATGTATGCTTTCAGAAAGGGTTTCAGTACAGCTCTGAAGCTATTAAAATGGACTGACATGTCGCCTAAGCCTGATTCCTGGGCTAGTCATATAAAGTGATTATTTTCTCCTTACCCCACTCTCTTCTTCCCTGTCCTTCTTTGGCCTTTCTTTTGCTCTCTTTCTTTTTCTTTATTTACTCCAAAATATTACCAAATCCAAGGGAAGTTTTCAAATCGCAAGGATAATTCCCAGAGTGGTCTTGTATAAACATGAAAATGTTTACTTCAGACTTACTAATTCATTTGATTGAGAAACTGCACACTTTCCCATGTATGGGGAGTGGAGGACAGATCTTATGTCTTACTTTGTTTGATCTTATGTCTTATTTGATTACTTTCCTTTTTTTTTTTTTTTTTTTTTTTTTGAGATGAAGTCTCGCTCTATAGTCCAGGCTGGAGTGCAGTGGCGTGATCTCAGCTCACTGCAACCTCCACCTCCTGGTTCAAGTGATTCTCCTGCCTCAGCCTCCCAAGTAGCTAGTACTATAGGCACCCGTCACATCCAGCTAACTTTTGTATTTTTAGTAGAGGCATAATTTCATCATATTGGCCAAGCTGGTCTTGAACTCCTGACCTTGTGATCCGCCCACCTTGGCCTTCCGAAGTGCTGGGATTACTTACAGGTGTGAGCCCCTGCGCCCAGCCTTATTTGATTACTTTCTTAGATAGTCAAAATTCTCCTAATTTACCTGGGTTTTTTTTCTCCAAAACACCTTTCCTCCCAATTCACTAAATTATGTCCATATTTGATCACCAGGGAGCAACTGAATTGTATCTAATATTTTTCCTATGGCTATATCTTTTGCAAGCAACGAACCCAAGTGGATGAAGAATAGTGTCAGTTACAGTTCACATTTTAAAGGACCCTAAAGTTCTCATTATTTTCATAATGACAGGGGCACCACCGTATCCTGAAGTCCCTCCTACCAGCATCCTACAGCATCTCCAAAGAAGGAATATCATGAAGAGACCCAGTAGCTGCACACATACCATGTAAGTGGTTTTTAAAGACCCGCTCTTCTTTCATTCCAAATATTGTTTGGCCCTCTATCAATTGTGCCCTTTTCAAAGTGCTCAGATGATTCTCACCTGTCGATATGCACCAGTGTATAGCTTTTAACCAAACCCACACAGTAAAATACTTCTATCTCATATATTATGTGTAATATATATATTATATATACATATACATACACAAACACACGCACACACACTCACACATATACCCCCACCACACACTGAGAACTATATTATTAGGAACCTAATTTTATTATAGTTTAGTTCCACGGGAAGCTTCTAAAATAGGTAGCAGGTAAACGAAACCCATTGCAAGTACAGTTGTGTTTAGTCTAAATGTCAGTTTTCTACCAGCCGCAGTTCAGACAGCTGTCATAAAATCCATTGCACTAGAGTTATTCATTCAGAGTGTGCCAGTTCTTATTTAGTATTTAACTTTTAAATGACTGTCTCTCTGTTCTTCCAGCTTTCAGTGTGATAAAAGCCAACCAGAAGAAGGGGAGATAAGAAGAAATTAGAAAGGCAGAAGGAGGATCCAATGTTGTCAGCAGATAGAGACAGTTAATGAACCAACCTAGAGGCAGGAAATGGAAAAATTAGAAATTACACAGACTGTTATTACCAATGAAGTTGAAAAGGGAACTGCTGTAGAATGTAAGAAAAGGTTAAATTGTCTATTAAAAAGGCAGTAGAGAATATATTAATATTTCTATTAGAATTGTTGCTATTTTGTAAGCTTTCATCATTGAATAGGTAAATTTACAGTGCTTGGTTTTCCTTATGATAAACAATTGCTGTATTGAGCAGATTAAGTTTAAATATCTTAACTATATATAAGTATACACACACACACACACTGACTATAGTAACGAAGCTAGGTACAATAGAAAGGAATTGATGACAAACATTTCTGTGTGTAAAAGGCTGTTCTTGATACTGGAAAAGACACCTAACCTGACCTGGTACCACGACCTCTGGGACTTGTCATCCAGCTTTGGCATCTGCAGTTCTAGCAGCAGATTCAAGGCACAAGCATAAAAGAATTAGATGAGGAGATATCTGAAACCTGAAAATCAACCTAAAGTAGGCAGCAGTATCAATGATTCAAAGCTCTGTCTCATATCAGAGTAAAAATGACATGTGTTCTGTTCCACCCAGCCCTGTTACTTTATTGCGCATTGCTTACAGTGTACAGCAAACAGCGTCTAGTGATAAAACTGTCCTGTCATACTCTAGTTTGGAAAATATTAAGTCATTCCTATCATTCAAGAGCACTTGTTGAGAAAGTGATAATAAGGGACTTGATATAAAAAGGTTGAGAAAGCAGAGTTGGGCCTGGTTAGTACTTGGATGGGAGACCGCCTGGGAATACCAGGTGCTGTAGTCTTTAAAAAAACAAAAAAGATTGAGAAGCAGTAGCACGCTTTGGGAAGAATACGAGTAACAGGGCAAACAGAAGAAAATCAAAGAATTGCAGAGTTTTTGGTTAAGGTTTGTGAGGAGAGGAGACAGGCTCACCATACATTTGCCTTGTCAAGGAAGTCAATTTCTCTTGTTTCCCTCTCAGGTATAGTATTATGAAGTCCTGCTGGCGCTGGCATGAGGCTGGCCGCCCCTCACCTAGAGAGCTACGCTTGCGCCTAGAAGCTGCCATTAGAACTGCAGATGACAAGACTGTGTTACAAGTACCAGAGTTGGTGGTACCTGAACTGTATGCAGCTGTGGCCGGCATCAGAGTGGAGAGCCTCTTCTACAATTATAGCATCCTTTGAAGAGTCCCAGACAAGAAACGTTTATGCATGATTATATGTTCTTGGACTCAATTCATCTAAGAACAGAAAATAGTGTTTCCAGGGGACACAGAGGGAGACATGGAACATGGATTCTTCATCTTCCTTTCCACATTTCTCTGGAAATCTGAAATGACGCTGGATCAGACTCTACGCACCATACACCCTGAGCTGAGACACATTATCGGTCTCACTTCTGCTGCCTCAGTCCTAGAAACACTGGGTAGAAGTGGTGGACGTGCGCAAAGGAGGTTTTAGAACTCTGCAGTATTTGTTGGGGCATGACATAAATAAGCTCATCCCTCCCATCCTAGGCTAGTTTTCTCTGGAACCACATTTTATCTAGATGATTACAAGGTCCAGAAAATTTGGAATGAAATGAAGGAATAGAAATCCAATAAAAGAGTTGAAGGGAAAGGAAATTTAAGGTTCTACTTGCTCAGGATTACAGATGTGGACCAACACCTCCTTCAGAGAAAAGGTGGTAGGACACCTGATCCTTCTTCAGTCCTGATTCCTACCTATAGGGTTGCAAGAGAACTATAATGGAAAACCTCTGAGTTTCCCCTTAAGTATAGATAAAACAAAGATGGTCCCCTTTTATCTAAGACACGTAAACTCTGTTAGTAATTTTTAATTAGAAGGTGGAGGGGTCATTTCATGATTGAGAACATTCAACATGTATTGTTCATTGAACTAGCTTCCTAGCTCCGATTAGACTAAGGAGATTAAGCCTAGAGAGTCAATGTTAGAACAGTGATAAAAATGCTGTGTGTGCATGTGTGTGTGCACAGTCAATAGGGAATATAGAAACTAAGCAAGAAGGCTCAGCAGCCCAGTATTTAACAAGGGCTAGAAAAGACTGTCATCTTATATGGAAGGATAGTAGCTTCTAATTTTCAATCATCCATTGATATACTGTGAAACTTATTTTATTAAATTAATATTTATTGAATGGAAATATGTTTTTCTGGTTTACAACTGTTAAAAATCTCTGTCGTGGGGAGGATAAAATAAATGGAAGTTAATGTCAATAGAAAAATGAAAAGGGATTCTTAATGTGCAAATGGGGATAATACCTATCTCACAAGGTTGTTCTGAATATTGAGTATGCATTTGTACAGTATCCGGCACATATGTGCTCAATAAATGTGTTTCTCCTTTTCTTTTGCCCTTCCTAACCCAGGCCCTTTCATAAAGGTATTTTTTCATTTAAAATCTACTGTGGCCAAGAAGAGAACCTCAGTCTGGAACACTGCAAGGCAGGACATGCCTAAAGTATGGCACAAGTATTAATATTATACACGTGCAATGTTGAAGTCATCATTTTTGCATGCTTTTGGATGATGATAGTGAACTCATACTATTTCAAAATATTGAAAACATCATCATGAGGGAAGTTCTGTTGAACATGGTGGTCTGTGATTTTAAAGAACATCTTGGGTACCCTGGAAGGAACATCTAAGGCTGCCGTTAAGAAAGATGACTGGCAGCCAAAAATGTTGTAGAAGTTGGAATCCTGATGGAATCGTGATAAGTCAGCTAAAAGAATAATGATTCTAACCTCTGAGACAATACCACAATGACTAGTCAGGATTTAAATGGGTAGTCAGTTGCAGGAGAGAAAAGGGCGGAAAAGTGGGTTCACACAAAATGACAAAGTCCTATGGAATCCCATTGTTGCCTCTCGCTTAAGTCAAAATTACAAAGTATTTCCTTATTTATCTGACCACTTAAAAATATTGAGTGTTAAGGCTTGCTGTGCTAGACACTTGGCTAGGTGTAGGATAAAAGAAATAGGGAGCTTTTGATTACACTCTAGAAGGTGAGACACGTTATACATTTTTTTGTGTGGGTATCCGTTAATTACAAAGTGTTAAGTGCTATGAAGAAAAAGCACATGATAGTAGAACGGAGTTTAAAAGGAATACGTCCCTGAAAAGAAATGGACTAAACTGAGAACTTAGGGATGGGTAAGTAACCCAGGCCGAATCAGAAGCGCCTCCCAGGGGGATGACACGTGTGTGTGAATCCTGAGGCAAGGAACTGCGAGGAAACATATGGGCTGCAGCACGGTGAGTTAAGGGAAGGTGGCACACAGTGAAATGGGACGTTGCTTTTTTGCGTTCTCATATTTGTTTCAGTAGGAGGGAAAGAAGCAGACAATTGACATTTAAATTTTTTATCCCCAATTTTATTTGTTTTTCTAGCCTGGAAAGTTAGATACAGTAATTTTTACTCTTAAGAAAATTGGGTCTTTCTCTCCCTTGGCCAGGTTTCTTCCAGAAGGAAGATGATATTTCTGGTATCTTTGACCTTTCAGCCAAATGGTGTTTCCAAACTAATGAATGAAAAGAGAAACAAAATATTTATCATTTAATCAGGTTGACTGTAGATAGATTTTGTTGTATTGTTTTGATCGCCTTCTCTCCAGTCTTGTTTTTCCAATCTATGCTTTACTGTTAAAAAAAAAAAAAATTCCAGCACTTAGGAACAAAGCAAACACCCACCTAGATACCGTGTCTAAGGGAAACTTGGCGATATCATTTAAAATAGAATAGTCTGAACCAGTAGTTCTCAAATTATGCTCATGGAAAACAGTATGATTTTCATGACAGATTTAGGTATTCTGTTATTAAAATTAAATAATAGTGGTGGCTTTTTTTTTTTTACCATTTTAAAACAAAAAAAGTAAGTTAGTGGATAGAGTTTTCTTAATCTTAACTTTGTTGCAATATTTTTTTTTAAATTTTGCTTTGACATGCTCATTGAAATAAATAAACAAGTAGCAAATACAGTGGAAGACGACTATTACCCTTAAGTTAGCACTGTGTTTACTTGTTTTGTGCAAAAGAGTTCGCGATTATGCTATGTGTTTGAAGCATATAATATTGTCATATGCTGGAAAAAATTTTAGATTGAATAATGGAATTAAATATACCATGTCATGATAATCTAGAAATAGCTCCAAGTGCTCACATATGAACATATGTGATAAAGAATGGTGTGGAAAATTTGGTGTTTTTGCATGATAGTGATTCTCTTATTTAAAAAGTAATACCTCTGAGTGATAAAAAGACAGATAAGGCTAAATCCACAGGGAAGTCTATTATGGAAAAGAGAAAAGCAAGGTGGGTGGATGAATTAAAAATTAAAATAGGCTACCTCATTCTGAATATTTTTAAAAATTTAAACCACATTTTGCACTTATTCTTGACTTACTACTCTGATCCATTATTAATAAATGAATGAGATAGCCCCATCTTTTGTTGTGTAAATACAAAATCAAAATGAATCAAACATTACTAATAAAATAAATCTAAAACATGAGACTCTTATATCCAGTGCTTATCACAATAAAGATGGAAAAAGTTTCTGAAAATTGGAAGTCAGAATGATTTGATCATTTTAAACAGAGAGGCAAAAAAGCAAAAACAGGTAGGATAACAGAGAGGACATAAAAGATCAAAGGAAGAAAGAATTTTAGATATAGGGAAAATCAGCAGAATATTTTAAAAATTAAATTAGCAAGTATAAGAAAGAACCATCGCAGATTTGATTAATCACCATGAAGCTGAAAGAAATAAAGTTAGAAACTCTAGTGGCAGATCATTATTTTATCAATGAATATTGTGTATTTGAATAAATCATTAAGTATTAATTTCAGTGGGAATTGGAAATAAAACGTTTATTTCTTACCTACTTCACTTTGTGTTTTGAAATTTTCCACTGTGTTAGCAAAGGTGGAAATAGTATTTTGGCTTCACTTAAGCAATTCAAACATTTATTTTCATAAGTAAACTGTGTTGATATCAGTAAGTATGTCTTAATTTGGAGTCTACAACAACTGATTTGAGAAATGTTCACAATTTTTTTTTTTGCTATTTCTAGCCCAACTAAAAGTGTATGAGAAAAATTCTTATATAACTGTGCTGACCAACACAGTAGCTTCTAGTCACATGTGGTTATTCAAATGTTAATGTAAATTAGTCAAAATTAAGAATTCAGTTTGAAGTCACACTAGTCACATTTCAAGTGCTCAGCAGCCATACCAAAGAATATTTCCATATCGCTGTTGTGTACATCCAAGAATACCAGAAAACACAAATGCTTTATCACTTATTTGGGCCTAAAATATGAAGAGTTAAGTAAATATAGTTTCATATTTTATCTTACTAACAGTTAGGATTAGATAGTCTTGAACCCATAAGTCTTTTTTGGAAATCAAGACAGTAACTGGCCCACTTAACAAAGATCTTAAAGCTTTGTGCATTCCATAACCTCTACTGACATAGTTACACATTCTGGTATCCATAGTTGTATTTAGGTAAATATGAAGATGCTTTGGCACATGTGGGAATCTAAGATATTCAATGAGGCTTTCCATATAATTCAACAAAATGGATCACAGCTGATATTTCCAGAGATACTATGGAATACAGTGCTCAAATTTCTGTGAATTATTCTTGTGGTAAGTGTGGTGACCAACTTATCTCAGTTTTCCTGGGTGTTTCCAGGTTTGGAAAGTCCCATGTCCCAGTAAACTCCACAGTCCTGGTCAAACTGGAATAGCTTGTCACCCTAGTGAGAAAGCATAGTGCTTCCTGTTTCTTATGTATTTTCCAAAATGGTGACCTATTGTAGGGATTGATTCACTTTTCTATATTAATAGTTATATAACTGCTAATATGGACTCAAGGTAACTTGGCCCAATCTGCCTTTTTAGTCATTCTATTTGAACCTTATGCTCTAGCTATACCAAATTTCTTGGCGTTCCCAAAACATGCATTTTCATACCACTGTCTTTGCTCAGGTCATTCTCTGCTGGGAATGCTTTTTCATACCACTAAACATACACAGAACTTACTTCTCAAGGTCCAATTCAAATATCTCTGTTGACAAGTCTTCTATTTTTCAAATTTCCTTACTCTGCAGTAGAATGCATTTGCTTCTTCTGCTGTATTACCAGCACGTTTTACATATATTCCTTTTATTTTATTTCGAGACGAAGTTTCACTCTTGTCACCCAGGCTGGGGTACAATGGCATGATCTCGGCTCACTGCAACCTCTGATTCCTGGGTTGAAGTGATTATCCTGCCTCAGCTTCCTGAGTAGCTAGGATTACCAGCGTGTGCCACTACACCAGCTAATTTTTGTGTTTTTAGTAGAGACAGGGTTTCTGGTCTTGAACTCCTGACCTCGGGTGATCAGCCTGCCTCGGCCTCCCAAAGTGCTGGGATTATAGGCATGAGCCAACGTGCCCAGCTACACATATTCTTAATTATCTTAAATATATTAAGAGCAATTAGCAATTGCTCCCTTGTGCTGATATTTGCCTTACATATTTGCTTTCTTTTCTAGACTACCAGTGCAAATGGCTTATTTCTAGTTTCAAACTTTTTGTCACATAGGAAATGTTTGTTAAAGCTGTTTTATAAAATTTAAAGCTTATTTTACATATTATTCTCATTTGATCTCTCAAGAATTCCGTGAATTTGACAAAGTAGATTGCTCTATATGCCTGAGACTGATGAACAAACAGGTTTAGAGATAGTGACTTGCCCAAGGTTAGGTAGCTGTGTTGGGATTGAATCCCAGGTCTTCTCACTACCACTTTTTACCAAATTCCATTGAAGGTTGTCAACTGACAGGATTACTCTGTGTGTTGGTAGCAAAAGGGTGATCAATCATATTTGAAAAGCAGACTTTAGTCTTTTCCTTTCTTTCAAACCTACCCTACAATGGAGCATTCGTTCATCCCTCCAATTTAATTGTACTTGGCGAGAAACGTGGGCTAAATATCCTTATTACACCTTAAATCAAATTGCCAAAACTCCACAGGCTACTAAAAGTTAACCCTTACTGAATGAATGAAGAACCTTAAAAGTTCTGCTGTTAAAAGCACGGCGACTGTCAGGATTTTTCAGTGTGTGTGTTTTAAGACTTCAGCTCTTCCGTATGATGGATTCCTTTGAGTTTGTCTCTATTATTATAGGCTTATAGCTGTTATAACTGTCAGGGTTTTTCAGTGTGTGCGTGTGTGTGTCTGTGTGTGTAAGACTTCAGCTCTTTCGTGTGATAGATCTCTTCGACTTTGTCTCTATTATTATAGGCTTGTAGTTCTCAGGTAACTACCAATCATTATTCAAAGGGGAAAGCACCCT